AGCTGCTGATAGCCACGGAGCCTGTGCTGCTTGCAGCAGGGCTTCCACGGGAGCAGCCTGGGCTCCGTGGCTATCAGCAGCTACCCAGAGCCAGGGCCAGCTGCAGCTGGGAGGCTACAAACAGCATCTGCCCTCCCATCCCAGCCCCAGCTGTCTCCCGGCCCTGAGCTCCAGGAAGGCAGCAGGTGCCGGCACTGCATCCATTGGGGCAGGGCCAGGGGCAGGGAGGCTGCAGCTGTTTGTAGCCTCCCAGCTGCAGCCAGCCCCAGCTCTGGGTAGCTGCTGATAGCCATGGAGCCTGGGCTGCTCCCAGCAGGGCTTGCAGCATCCCAGCTGCCTGCTGGGCATAGCCCAGGCTCCCAGCTGGCAGCAGCTACCCAGAGCTGGGGCTGGCTGTAGCCAGGAGGCTGCAAACAGCTGCTGGCTCCCCAACCCCAATGCATGCCAAGGAAAATGGCCTTGTGTGCCATGCTCGGCATGTGTGCTGGGGGTTGCCGACCTGTTTTAGAAAATAATAGGACCTCATCTCTTTTTGAAACATAATTTGGGTTTCACACCAAGGTCTAAAGTAACCATTTGGGTTTTACACCAAGACCTAAAGTAACTTTCACATTATTTATGCACCAAACTCTATGGGTAAAATAGTGAAGATGTATACCCATAGCAGCAGCTCCTCTAACCAGTGCACAAATCCACACTCCACAACAGGAAAAAACCCACAGCCATGGACTCTACTCCAATATTTCTTGCATACCTCCTCAAATCCCAGCACCCCGGACACTGTTTGGGTCAATGGTTCAGGCTTGCAATCACAAATGGTGGGAAATTTCCCCTAAGGAGAGGCACGAATTACTAGTTTTTGCCTTTGAGGTTCAACAACACTGAAACTTCTTTGTCAGTGTCCTCTTTGGTTTTATTGCTAAGAATGACTATGTATCCAGAGCTACTGGAAGCTTCAAGCAGCTCCAACCTGTTCACATCAAACCCTGCATGAACATTCAGGGCTGAGTGACAAGGATGAAGCTTCAACTACAAATTGAATGATTTATCAATGGTTGCAATATTATACTTTTCTTTATTATGGAAACAACCTTCTCGAAGAAGACCGTAAAAATTCATCTCAAGTTGTGTCCAATTAAATTGGCTTTCAGTGTCTTTGGCTATACTTATTGCATAACGGAGAAGGAAAAGGAAGAAAAAATTGTAATGGTCCACACAGCATAACACCATCTCAAGCTACGTTTCTTCTTGTGTTATTCATCAAATCACTTTCAGTGAAAATGAGGAGTTAACTGGCTCAAATAAAGTTTACTTCAGAAGTTTACATATAAGCTCTCTTGTTTTTCATGTCAGACTTCACTAGAAGTTTGCAGACAACAAGAGCAGATTTTCAGCATTAGTCTACAACTTTATGAGAGTCAACAGCAAAGAAATAAAACTGCTCTAAAGAAAGCTTTTGTCTGTTTTTTGGCAGCGGCAGATTGTCTGATCCAAATTTTGACAACAATATTTCCCACACATCCAGAGAAACCCTATGAAGCCACCCAAAGTTTCTCTTTAATTCTTAGATTCTCCCAAAAAACACTTTACTTGTCTGCCACTGATTAATACAGTGCTTCAGTTCAAATCTGTATTGACCTTTGGCCACTGTGGAAAGCAGTAACTTAATAAGGGGTTGGGTTTGTACTGCAGAATCATATTTTTGTTTTATTCATGGTCTTAAAACACGAGAGTCATACACAACCCTGGAATCCAGTTTAGATTCCTTCACTGAACTTTAAGAAACTTCACAAACAACAGCAATGAACACAGAAATGAACTGATCTCATACTACAGCAAAGACTGGAGGAACAAGTTGCAGGACATTTTCTGCTGTATACACTTTGCCATAAAGTAAACTCCCAGGACCTAAAACTACACTGTTACATCCACGCATAGAGCTTGCAAAGTTTATATGCTGTTCTGAAAATGAGATGACAGATCTTAATGTGAGATGAAAAAGCTTTGACAGTGTTGAAATATATGGGGGGGGGAGGAGAAGGTTATATAATGAATATATCACCTACATCAGGGTGTGGCAACCTGCGACTTGTAAAATCATCAGATCTGGCCTGCATTTGTGGAGCTTCAACAGCATTCGGTGGCAGAGATAAGCACTGCCCATAGGTATTCGTTCTGTGCCACAATGGGGATGACTGTCAGCAGCAGCAAGCCGGGTCCTAGTACCCACCCATTTGCCTCTGATCTGAGCTGGGTCATTCTGGCCTGCAGATGGAAAAGGATGCCTATTCCTGATTTACATGGTTTCAAAGCCATTATACAGATTCTTAAGACTAGGAAAGGAAAAAAAAAGTGAAAATTTAGTATGGCTAGCAAGGTATCCATGTAGATCTAATTTACCTCTAAAATACTTTGACATCTTATTATAATGAAGAGCACCACAGAAAACCCAAAGATAATATAGACATACTTTTATGATTATCACAGGTTTTTACCCTTTAGCAGAAATTTAAGAGCCATTAAGATTTAAATTACCACTTTCAACTATCAGTAAGATTCTTGTAAAAATGATGAATGCTTGTTACAGTGCATAGTAAATAACAATTCATATGGATTGTACTCACCTGTAAACATTTTTGTAACAGCTTTACTCTGCTTGCGGGCAGAACAGAGGAGAAGCAACCATGGAGGGAAGAATTCATAGTGACCAGCTAAAAGTTCTGCTATAGTTCCAGATAAGCCTGCAGAATTCTGTTCACCTTCAGCAATATTACAGCCTTCATCCACTGAATCTACAAGCAGAAAGAGGCTCTGCTGGGGAGGCTTTAACCCCAAAAGAGGGAGCAGAATGCACCTGTAAGAAACATTAAATGAACAATTATTAGTCTAAACATACATGGCAAAACACCTTGGTGCAATAGTTATTAACATCAGAGCTACAGCTGGTTTAAAGGTATAGAACAATTTTAAACTGTCAGAGGAAACATTTTTAGACACATACCACAGCACATACTAAAGTAGACATTTCCATTTAATAAAGATATTCAGAATAACTAACGTACGATTGTACAGACTAAGGTTCTTTTTTTTTTTTTAACTTATTGCATAACTCTAATATATAAAAATGTCTTTTACCAAGTCATATATTCTCTGCAAGGGATGTTAGAAGAATGTTAGAACTGAAATTAATTTTTTTCTCTGTGTGGAAGGAGACACCTCAGGAACAGAGGGAAGCCTGAAGCTGACCCTTCGCTTCCACCTTAGGTGGAAGAGGGAACGTTGCAGAGGACTGGAGCACCATGCTGCACTTTCAGACCCAGTGCTTGGTCCGGATTGGTGGCAGTGAAGCCGGGAGAGGTACTCCTGGCCCTGAAGAGGGGCAGCTGGGGAAAGACTGCAGTGTTGCAGCAGAGGAGATGCCAAAGGACTCTCCCACTTATGTCGGTCTGTGACAAGCGGCAAACGAGGAATGCAAGCAGTGGGCACAGCCAGTTGGAGGATCACCAGCCAATTCAGGTACTGGTAGACAGGATGTCAGAGCTACCAACCTGACTGCAGCGGGGAGCTCGGGGTGCAGAGGAACCAGGCCAGAGGCAACCTAGGAGCCCAAGCCCATGGTAAACTGGGAGCCAGGGGAGGTTCTGCCATGGTGTGGAAGCCACCAGGAGGTGGTTGTTCTTTGTCAAAAGACTCAAAATGATAAGGAAAGTAACCCAGAGCACATTGATGGACTTTGCAGCCAACCTTGGCTTACAGGCAGGGGATGAACTGATGAAAGCGTCTGACTTTTTTTGGGATTACTACTAATTTAGGCCAGAGTTGACCTTTGAGTTTGGCTCTCTGTGCGACTACTAAAAAGGGCAACTGGTTGCAGGCATTAACCCCTGTGATGGCCAGAACCAGAAGGGTCAAACGGGCAGCTTTAACCAGAAAAATTTGCTTTTTGAGGTATCTGCAAAAGTGGCTGATGGAGCAGTTCCCTGTCTGTCTGGAAGAAGATTTATATATAGCTTTTTGTATTAATCTCCAGAAGGCATGAACTTTAAAAAGCAGAACTGAAAATTATAGCTGCAGACATAGCTGATTTATGAAATTTTGCTTAGAATTAATAAAAAACTAACAAATGTAATCACAAGATATAATTAACATAGTGGGTTGAACTTAGGTGGGGACATGTTAATCTCAGACCCCGAACTGATGTGGTGTGATTTACTTATTGGGTAAACCCAAGCTTGGGCAGTGACTTATTGTAATGATTTGTAACACTTTTTAACCTTATAGGATAACAGCTATAAAGTAACGCTATGAATGGCTATATAACCAAAAAATTAGCATAAAAAGGATACAAAAGAACAGGCATGTCAAAGTAACCCTCGAAAAGGACGGAACAGAAGGGTCATTGCTGTTCCATACCCCCACAGATCTCTCTTACTCCCTGAGAGAGCAAAGATCAGATCCTGACTGAGGTGCTTCCCCCCAACAGCCCAGTTCAGAGATTTCTGACTTCGCTGAATCAACTTGACATGCATCTTCTAACTGAAGAACTATTGATAAGTTGCTAACCAAGTGGGAACTCTTGGTTAATTTCTTTATCTGTTTTATTATCACTGTCAATTTTAATCTATATTGTTATGTTGTCTGTTTATTACCTTAACCTTTTTACTAACCGTCATAGGTGCAAACTGTATCTTTTGTTGTCATAAGTAAAATTTATTCTTTTTTATAAGTAAAACTTGTCATTGCTTTCCTTCCCAACATCACCTCCTTGATCCCGAACCAAAATAGCCTAGTGGCTAATAAAGTTGCAGTGCTCAGTCAGTCTGCAACTAAATTATACTCACAGTGCCCAGCTGGCCTGTGACAAACCCCAAAGACAATGCATACCCTGTTTAATTAATTTTGGTTTGTTCTGGGACTATTAAAAGGAACTGATTTCAGTCCATGTGGGCTCCCTGTCAGTGGACACATAACAGAGGAGGGACCTTGGCTGAAACACTGGTCAAAAATCTGAGGCACCCCATGGAGGATTTTTATTACGCCCCACAGTAGGGCCTGACAGATTCCTGGCAATCCAGATAGGTCTGTTATACATGACCCAAGGGGAGGTTGTACCCAGGATAAATGCGTCATATATCAAGGAAGTGGTAAGGGTGGGGTGTAGGGGAGGCAGAGACCCACAAACAGGCCCCAAGGTATCACCCAGCAGAACAAGCTCCCTAACAGAAGATCAAAGCCGTGGCAGGCAAGAGAATAACATCAGAGGATGACTGGGGGATACTGAGGCCCCTTCCACATCCTGCCACCATTCGACAGAAAAACGCCAGGCTGGAGGGGACCTAGGCCTGTAGCACCTACCCCAACACTCTATTTAAAGTTTACAAATACTAAACTCTCACTATGAACACTACAGGCACTGTTTATCATAAACAGCAGTGAATGATGGCCTTAAACAAGATATCCCAAGGTATTAAAAAAATGCATATGAGATTTCTAAGGTGAAAGTGCTTATACTGTATGCAAATTAGATTTCTTTACTTTTTGTTTTATCCCACGAACTGTGTTTGTCATGCTGTCAGGAGTGAAAGTTAATTTACCACAACTTGGATTTTCAGGTAGTCCTTTTGGTGGTGAATCTCTTTAGGAATAGGTTGTATTGTTTTTTTAATTCCTACTGACCTCTGAAGAAACCTCATGTAATCCTGAACATGCAGTGATCCACATTTTCCACTGTCCCTGAGAATGCTGCCTCATCCTGTCAGTTATACACATTTCCCTAGAGAGTCTTCTCAATCAGCTTTTTACTGTTCAAAAATAATTTTCTTTTCATGAAGTTCTCTCTATGTGAAGTTAAATTATTTTCTAGGTACGTAAAGGCAATGAAAAAAAAAGATAAAAATTCAAGCAACTGCATCAAATACAATATAAAATATGCAGGGTTGTCAAGTGGTTCCTGTTGTAAGGTTTACCTTTGTTTTTAAACCAAGTAGGATTATAAAGTTTCATGTTGAGAGTAGGGAAGAGAGACTTCACTTATTTTGACTCAAAATGTTATCTTTCTGAATCTTACCCCAGTTGTAACTGCTTCAGAAAAACATGATAAATTACACTAAAAGATATTAAAATCAGCATCGTAAGGTTAAATAAAGCATCATAGTAGAGAAAGGCATGCTGTAAAGGAGTCATTTAATAAGCTCCTTTAAAGCGGGCTAACAAAACACTTGCTAAATTCCTGTTGTCTCAGGTGATCTCAAACCTATGCTATAAACTCCTAAAACAACTGCTTATGCAGCATTAGTCTTTCCTGAAAAAAAGTTCCATTTTCAAAAATCAATTCTGCTTCTATGAAGAACATATTATGACTTTTCATACTATCATTTAAAGTACCTTGTTTCAAGCCAATGAAGAAGCCTATTTAGAATAAGCATATTAACTGCATGAAGGTGGCCTAAAGATTCTTATTCAGTTCAGCAATGAACTGAATGTGAACCCTATATATAGTGTATTTAAAATATACAAGTGCTTCATAATGAAATTACAGACAGCTGAAATGATCAGGCAGTGTATAGAGATGCAATTCTTACATTTTGGGAGCTCTTTATTTTTATCTCTATAATTCATAGATTGTTAGGGGCTGGAAGGGAACTTGTAGATCATCAGGTCTAGTCCCCCTGCACTAGGTAGGAAAAGACACCTGGGGTCAAGTGACCCCAGCGAGGTGACTCTCCAGTCTCCTTTTGAGAATTTCCAGGGTAGGTGACTGCATCACCACTTGAGGGAGTTTATTCCACACTCTGGACACCCTGACTGTGAAGGAGTTTTTTCTGGAACTGAGCCTGAAATGGTCTTCCCGGAGTTTGTATCCATTGCTCCTGGTCTTCCCTTGGGATGCCCTCGTGAACAGCTGTTCACTGTGTTCTTGATGGTCTCCCCTGATGTAGCGGTAAGCCACTACCAAGTCCCCTCTCAGCCTTCTCTGCTGTAGGCTGAAGAAGCCCAAGTCCCTCAGCCTCTCCTCGTATGGCTTGTCTTGCAAGTCTGTCTTGTCACACAGAAGTTTTGTGCAAACTCTACTCAATGTGAATGAACCTCGCTTCTCAAATCCAAATATATAATACATTTAATTATATTTAATTATTCATAAATAGAGATGACCCTTTGTAAATTCAATGTTTCTACCTTTTGTTAATGTGCCAAAGGGATCAGTTTGTTTACTATGTCACCTGACAGATTAAGGTCAATTTTCATTATTCGTTAGGGCAGAAACAAAAATGTACGTTACTGGAACTCTATTACTCAGGACATCTCTAGAGGTCATTATCACTGCATCTGATAACTTCTCTTAAAATAGTAAAGTCTCTCAGCAGAAATCCTAATTAAAAAAGAAAGGACATCCTGCCTTCTGCCCTGCTACTGGGGAAGGGGACAGGTGTCAGAGACTGGGCTCCCCTGGGGGCTAGGAAATCCACAAAGTACCCCCTATTGCTGGCTGCAGAGCTCACCTTTGAGGAAACTGTGTAGCTCTAAACAAAAAGAGAGATCATCTTCGTGCCCTCATAATGCTATATTTTTGTAGTTCTACAAAGTGCTGAGGCACCCAATTTCTATTTAGGCAGCAATTATTTTGTTGCACAAATCAAATTCTATTCCTGTACCTATTACTGCCAAAAAAAGTATTAAGGGAATATATTTTTATTCATGTAGAGGTGTACCAAAGTTCTGGCTAGTCCAATTAAATCAGGATACACCCCACACATCTTTATATTATACCCCTTTTCTAGGCAATAACAACAAAAAGCAAAACAATACTTAAAAAAAAACCAAAAAAACAGGAAACAAAAATACTAAGTACAATAT